TTTATTTGTTTCTGCTATGGAATCTCCCTTAAAGACTGTGGTATCGAGAAAGTCTATGCTTTTGTCACTCACGTTTGCGGTTAGTTTGATAGAAGGATGGTGGTTGTTGAGAATTTCAAAGAATTCCCAAAACTGTTCGATAGAATAAGTCCAAACCATAAAAATGTCATCCAAAAAGCGTCCGTAAAAAAGTGGGTCAAATGGACAGAGGGGCAACACCTCACGTTCCCACTCTGCCATGAAAAGGTTTGCGTACGAAGGGGCGAATCGTTTGCCCATTGCTGTCCCTGAAGTTTGTAAATATGTTTTACCATTAAATGTGAAATCGTTTCGACTAAGACAAATCTCTAAAAGCTGTAGAATTGCATCGTCGGGTCTGTTTGGATCTGGGTTTCTATTAAAAGCTTTACGAACTGCCGTTAAACCAGTAGTGTTATCGATATTGGTATACATAGAAGAAAAGTCGATAGAAATTAAAATAGCATTAGAGGGAACTCGAAGATTTTTTATTTTATTGACAAAATCGGTTGTGTCTTTAAGGTAGGCGCGATGTTGGCATGCTAGAGGTAGTAAGAAATGATAAATGTATTCTGACACTGCATATGACTCACTACCACAGTCAGATATAATCGGGCGGCCTTTAGGGATTTTATTCGAGATAAACCACTCCTTGGTTGGATTCTTATGGATTTTAGGCAAAGTGTACAAATGTCTCTCGCGACAATCAGGTTTGGCAGACAGATAGTCATATTGTTTCTGTTTGAGATAACTAGTTTTGACTAAATCGGCAAGAATATTATTAATCATGTTAGCAGTTTCTTTGAAAATTGGTTTCGGTAAAATGGCATAATGTTTAGGATTATTCAGTTGATTCTCTGCTTCTGAAACGTAATCCTCCCTATTCAGAATGACACAACATGAACCTTTGTCACTCTTTTTAATAACAATGCTATCGTCTTTCTTAAGTAAGTTTAACGCTTCACGTTCCACTCGTGTGAGATTAGGCTTTTCGTGTGTTATGGAAAGGTTCATTGTTTGGCTATTCATACTAGCAAATGATTTCAATATTTCAGGATGGATGGCGGCCTGAGGGGGTGTCCACGTGGATTTAGGAATAAACATTGTTCTAGCACCACGTGGGGGGTGGTTTCGAAAAAAATATGTGCAGCTAAGATTTCGTTGAAATCGTTCAATGGATGGTCGGAGATAATTCAAGTTAGCTATCTTTGGTGTGGGAATAAACTTAAGTCCACAGTCTAAGAGTTGGAATCCAATGCTCATGTAATCCTTGTATTAGAGATTGAGGCAATAAATATTCCTGTCACATGATTTTCAAAGTAGCCTGTCAAAATGTTTGCGTGTAGCCATTTTCATATTCATGTTTAATAAATACAAACACATACAGGAAATTCATGTATTAGAATTCTTATATTAGAACGAGAGTTTGGATTGATTAAAAATCACCACCTCAAACAAAGCTATATGGCTGAAGTGTTTTATGAGGAAGTCTTGGATGATGATCAATTTTTTTAAACTATTTCCGCAGAGATAAAGAGACAATGCATCTATCAATCTTATATTTTTTGCTGACAGCTTTTCAAACACCTTGTTATGGGAGAACTTCTTGTAAAAGATCAGGGCCATGCCAGGAGGGTGTGGGGGTGGTACACGGGGGAGGGGGACCTTGGGTACCCCCACTTTGGTTTCTAACAAATTTTTAAATATCATATTTCATACATTTTTGTCCCAAATTATGTGTCAAATTGCTCCAAATCAATTGAATCCTCTCAGATGCTTTGCCTAAAACACTTTTGAATCTCAACCTTCATAGTTGTCTCCTCCATTTTAGTCAGTATTCCCCCTATTTGTACCCCCAATCTCACTAGACTAGTGCCACTGTAAGAGATATGAAATGTATCTAATTATGGATGTATTGTACAAACAAACAATTTAAATATTGTAACATTATAAAAGATAAAGTGTATGTTATCTGATTATATTACATGATTGTACACAGTCTAATCTTCTTATTCTAATTCACACCTCTTATACTTAACATAAACCTCTCTAGTATCTTATCATATATAAATTTATATTCTCAAACATGACCAATAACAGTATAGATACATCAGTTGACTTACCGTATATTTCCGAATATAATGCGCACCCGTGTATAATGCGCACCCCTTCCTTTCCCCATTAAAATCGGGAAAAATCCATTTACCCGTGTATAATGCGCACCCCTTGTTTACGAAAAATTTGAAGTCAGACTTGGCACATCACAGACACCATTATCATCCCGTATATTTGACACGATATCATCTATAATATAAACGCATTTGTTTGTACAATTGAGTCGTTGGCCTATAGAGAATTGAGAAATGAGAACTCAAACTCAAAGATTAACAGGGCTCAATGATATATATTGCAAGGGTTAGAATACATACGATCGTCCTCACATTCTTATTTGCTTTCTAAGTCCTAACTTACATTTAATTCCTAAAGGCATATTCCACGTATCACCAAAGTCATTTTAAAATTAACCATCATTTGTTATTTTTTTCCCGTGACAATGAGTCTAAGTTGACAAGGTCACACACGTATGATTCTCGCATGATTCTCGATTCATTAGACAAAACTAACCATTAAATGATTGAGGTTTAGATATATTTATACGTTAAATAATCAAAAACTGTATTTACAGAAATTAATATTTCTGTCTTCTTTTTATTACGACGTTAAAAAAAAGTGTTGTATTTCTATCTTCAAATGATGAAGTGTTGAAGTGTTAAAATTCTCAAAGGAATGTTGTCATTAAATATGGTCCAGATCAAGTAAGAACACAGGCACTTGTTTCTATCATTGATACTCAATGGCAATGTCCGTTATCCCTACATATTACAACAGAACTTAATATGGATAGAAACAAGTGCCTGTGATCCACCCAATTCACCATTCACTGATCACGTGGACAACAGGTGTTCATAGATCCTCAACATCGATTCATGGTATATTCCAAGGGGAAAAAAACTCAAAAATTATTTAACCATGTATAGTGCGCACCCCTTCTGTGTGTATCCCTTTTCAGGGTAAAAACCTGCGCATTATACACAGAAATATATGGTACATGGTGTCATAAGTATACAGCAGATAAATTCTGAAGAGTAAAATATCACAGGGATTCTGTTGTATAGTTATAGTTATTCCTTTAATAACTGTGAATCAGGCAACATTATTTAATATTGAATATCTTCACTAATCATGTTTCAAACATTTCCTCATGCTTGGTTTAATCTTAGAGTCACATTACAATTTATGTTAATCAATTAAAAAGACTTTAAAATGGTTAGACAATACAAGTTAATAAATAGAAATATTCCAGAATTTCTCACATACATGTATAACAAATATATCATTTATTTATGGCATATTAGGTAAGAGGAGTGACTAGTAGAAAAAAACATAAACCAAACATCCTGTTCTGCATAATCAGATTGACTGTAAGGCCTATATCTCAAAATCTTGGCTTGATTTTCTCAAAATTTAAAAAGAAAAACAAGCAAAGTAGGTATCCAGGATGTTTATCTTATGTAATTCACATCAACATTGTCTGAAAGTAAATTCAGATACATTCAGTTATGTATAAAAACAACTATTTCAGATAACAAAATAACTTTTAAACCATAAAATTAGGCCTTGAAACATTCTTAGGCTCATATTTCTAAGATGTCAAGCTCTTTGGCAATTTAAAATTTGAAAGTAATGGAAAGTGATACCAAATAAAATAGAAAAAATCAACAATCAAAAGAACCTTTAAACATTTAGCTACATATTTTCAACTGTATTCTTGAAGGATTATATTAACATTAATATGCACCCCTTGAAGTATAGAGTGTTAATTTATGTATTTAAATGTAAAGATAGTGTATCTGTCAGTATATTGACTTTGTGAAAAGATAAATTACTTTTAAATCTTGTATGTTTATCTAGAGATAATATATTACATTAAATCTTTCTATTAGTTATTAGTTACAAATATATCCTGACCTTAGTTTAGTTCCAGATTACAATTTATCTATGGTATCATTTTAATATAAATAGGATTTGTACCTTATTAATCCTGCATTCATTTTTTTCGTGGGAACATGATTTACAAATCTATATAGCTTAATTTAGGTTTAAAAAATCAGGTTGCACCCAAAATAATTGTAAGTCTTTTTTTTCCAGCTGAAAACTCAATTCAAATCTTGTAAAATTTAAATAGCATGTGATTTTAAATAATACCAATTGATCTTAGATTTTTATATCATACAAATACATAATTATTACCAAATATATTATATCAATATTTTCTATGCTACGCTTAGTAAAGCATGATGTCTATATACAAGCAACAATAATGTCAACAGTCAATAAGAATATTTAATTCAATTTTCTCATCAATTCAAATAAAAATTTACAACTATAGATATGCTTTCATTCTTATATAGAAAAACCCTTAAGAGGTTGACATATAATTGAAAATAAAGAAAATCCTTTTCAGACCAGGTTTCACTCAGTCCAAGCTTCTATAACTTTTTTTGATGGTTATCGGCAGGTGTTGAGACAGCAATAAAGTCATGCTTTTATTTGGGATTACACATAATGCTATTCAATTTATTTCTGTAAAATTGAATTGGTCCTACACAAAAAGCATTGTATTGGTTGAGAAAATTTAGCCTACTCCAGCTATCACAAATATTCAAAACCGGCTGGTAAAGATCATCAAATTTCACATAAATACTTATCTAAAAACTTGTCAATGTGATGTAATAAATATAGTCAATGAATAAACTAATAAGATATTTGCTATAAATGCTCTGATAATTTAAAATGTAAATGTTTTGGATCAACCAGATTGCAAATTGGCATATTGGCAGGTGTTGTGAGCGTTAAAATAAAAAAAATAAAAGGATAAAAATAATTAATTTGAGCGTTCTGACACTGGCACATATTTTGGGGCAAAAAATACGTCAAAACCATATTTTGATTAATCCTAAACATTAAGTTGGGGTGCAATCTGTTTTTCTTGAGAGACAGTTGATGGGGATGTCCTCACTGTGACAGCGTCGCATCAATGTTATTGAAGGCAATCCACTTTTAAATTTAAACCTTCATTATTTTAAGACATTCACAGTTTGCTATACCTCTTATACACTACATAATTATCATATATTATATTATGAATGCATGTCATGTATATATTTGACACATGTCAACTGTAGGAATTTCTTATAATCAAGATGTCAAAGTTTAGATAATAAAATCTGAAAGTTATAATCATAGGGTACAATTTGGGTTGGTTTTTTTTCAAAAGTTAAATTTATACAAGTCATTAAAGTTGAATACATTTTTTTAACAGCATTTTTACATGTATGTAGAGATGATATTTTGCTAATGTATTAAATTCAAAATTTCTTATAGGGGAGTCTTTTAAAGCATGACCGAATTGAAATTTAAAAGAGTAAATAATCTGTATTCTGTTTTTGCAACTGGAAACAACTAATGAAATTATCAAACAAAACGATTTAAAATCAAAAGTTTAAGCCCAAAATATGTCTAAGGGCCAACAAGGGCCAAAAATTGATCTTATCTTGAAATTAAAACTTCCAATCTTATGATCTATGACATTCAAAAATCAGTATATCTTTGTGTGATTTCTGCATTTATTAATTCTTGAAAATGGTAGAAAGGTGCAAAATTATAACCCTAGTTTGAACATCTAGTTAAAATTTCTAAGAATTATCATATAGGCAAAACTTTCTTTTTTCCAGGTGGGTTACTTAATGCCCTAAATAATAAATAATTGATTACCGTCGCTGGAATTTATAATTTAGATTGATTTTTTCAATCAAAAGTTTTCAAAGTTATACATTTTGTATTGTGTACCCCTTAACAAGTAGAAATCTCTTCCATAAAGGTTCCCTTCAGCACATAACTTACCTACAATAAACTATAGTAACTGATCAAAGCAAGAATATACTTCTATGACGCAGAAATAACCTGTTATATTAAGATTTTTGGCATGTTTTTAATTTAGTATTTACAGGGTTTCTCAATTGAATTATTTCGATTATTAATCGCTTATTGATCGATAGTCTGCCTTGGATCTCAATTTACTAATCAATACCCAGCCCTAGCCTTAAGTATTTATGGTGAGTTTCTGAACAAAGTCAAATAAAATGTATATTGTTGGTTCAACAAAAAGTGAAAAAACTAAACCATTTAACCAAAGGAAGGGTTAGAAAGAAAACTCTTTTGAAATACAGATAAGATCATTAAGATTATGGATCATTAAATTCACAAATACTCCTTATCCAAAGAGAAAATACTTGACTTAAAAACAAACAATACATCTTTGATCTTTTTGGTTTTAGTTAATTCAAGTGGTAGTATATTGTGTAGAAGGTGAGAGTATTTTTGTATTAAAAGTGATATATTTGTATTTGAAGTGCTAATGGGGAAGTGATAAGATCAAGTGTTAATCCCCTATCTTTAATTAATACATCAATTACCTTAATCCTATTAATCTATCTCTTGATGTATCAGTTCAATACTTAATTAAATATAAGTGTTTCAAACAACAAAAACATTTAGACATTTGTTTCATTTTTAAATTCTACATAGAATTTGCAACAAATATATATAATTTTGGTTTGAAAGATATTTCAGTGTCTCTCAATTAATTTGAAAAAGAGAACTGAAGGTCATAGAAAACTATGAAATTTAACAGGATCTAAATTGTTATTTACAATTACAAAACTATCATACCTATTAGATGGTATACTATAAGACAGAAAGTCAATGAACAGATAGTTGGGACTAATTTTACTGTGTATGTTTTGTCCCATTTCTTTTCCAGATATTGCTTATATGGCACATTAAATTTTAATTTGTAAATCTAATTTTAAGGGAACTGATTTGGGGTTGACTTGGGTCTTCATTACAAGTAATTAGACTTAATTGCATATTTCCTTCAAAAATACCTCAAACTAGGAATTTCACTTTCTAATTCTTTATATGACAGTCTCAAGAAATGACAAGTCATATCAACATACCAGCGCAGATAATTCTGGACTAACATGGATTTGAAGGCTCAAATTTGGTACCTGAGCTGTGAACACTATTACTGATTGGCTTAGCTAAAAATTCCTGTTTCTGAGACTAAAGTAAAATTGGTCAAACGAATGGCCAACCTGTCCCTTTAGGCACATATCAACAAAATATGTACATACACAAAAATATTTTTTCTTTAAATGTAACTATGAAGTGAAATATGAAAACTACTGATCAAGCTTAGTATTTAAACAAGTTGTATAAAACTATATAGCCCGCCCAATAGTTTATAATAAATTCAAGTGTAATAATTTTATGACTCAACAAGTTTGTGATAAACTTTAACATGTTCAAATAACTATAAAATCTTCTATTTATATTGTTACCCTATCTTTATATTCTACTATTAACAGCTTGATATCAACAGCAGAATATTATGAACAATTTTTCATAATAAAGCAAAATAAACCGAAGCATAAAGAAGCCAGAATGTTATACATAATACAAGTTTAAAGCACCACAAATAACATACCAAATCTGCATGTTATTAAAGGGACAGATTCGCCATTTTTTTTACCAATTGTTCCTTAGTCTAAGAAATGGGATTTTTCTAGCTCAGCTAATTAGTCATAGTGTTCACAGCTCACCATCAAAATTTGAGTCTTGACCCATTAAAGACCCTCAGGTTTGTGGTAATTGTGGTATCATATCACTATCAATATTTCACTAAAGAATTCACACAGTTACAGGATTGTTGGTTTATTTTTCCACAATCTAATGTTAAGTTTTGATGATCTTTAATGTGGTGATGGAATGTTCCAATCTTGTTTTAGAATTATTTTTAAAAAAACAACTTTTTAATCAGTATTTCAGTTTCATTTAGATAGAAAGAGCTCAATATCTGGCCAAAAAGTATTGAATTTTATGGGGAAAATGTCAGTGTTGACTGGAGGATATCTTCTTTGTTTGACTGTAAAATTCTCCAGGTATCACTTTTCCTCAGGCTTTATTGTTCCCCATTTAAATGTAAATATACCTGGTCTTAATGTCCAGTGTCCATTGTTTGACCGGCTTATGCCATGTCCTACTACATTTTGTCAACTGGACAATGAAACATTTCAATGTCCCCCATTGAGAAGGGTACACCCAGAATTCAAATTTTAATGGATGCAAATAAAATGTTTATATGTTGTCAGTAGGGAATTTTAAAATAGATAATAACTGCCTTGTTTTGGACAATAACTTGTTCATTTCCTCTTAAAATTCCAACATTATATTTTAGGTAAAAAGTATCCTTTAACTAGTAATATTTCTATAATTGCATTTTGGATTGTTTTGGAGATTAAGCCCAATTTATAAGTAGCTATTTTATAGGACAGAAAAAAAATTTGTTAACATTAATCTCATAGACCTCAGACAATTGTTCTGGGTCTCTAATCCAGTCTGCAGTATAGGTCTACAGATTTTTGTAAGACTACATTGGCTTTCATTCCTTATAAAAAATGAAAAAGATATAGCAGAAATAGACTACACTCGAATACAGTATCTATAAAACTTTTACTTACTTTACAAACTTTGAAATTCTGTCACCAGTTAAAAAGTACATGACATCTTCATGGATGGACTCCAACTTTTCCTTTTCATCTGTATTTTTATTAGAAACTAAGCACTTATTGTAATCGTTCAAAATACTTTCGTTGTCATAAATTTGACTTTCTCGAACATAATATCCCAGTAAAACTCCCAACAAAAACATAACACTTATAACAAGTATTAACAAAAAGAACGGTGTAAAAGTTATACATGGCTTTTTCTTTACAACTTGTGGATCTGAAGTCGAAGCTTCAATTAAATTAGTATTAGTTGTTGATTCTTCATCTCTAACTGGACTCCAAGACCGATATCGGCCGTAACCTTTCTTGGGTGTCGCCATTTTTGTAACTGAATAGTGTCTTTTTGTGACTCGCGCTCTAAAAACCTTGCCTCACTTTCAACTACGGATCACACCTGTCACTCAGGTAAATAGGAGCGTCTAATTACAGGCAGGTACAGGTGTATGATACATTAACTTACAGGCAGGTACAGCAGATGAGACTCTATCTTACAGGCAGGTGCAAGTGTAAGAGGACATTCGCTTACAGGCAGGTACAGGTTATGAGACATTGGCCTACAGGCAATGAATAGGTGAATGGGACATGTGCTTACATAGACATAAGCCTACGCAAGATCAGAACCCCCATCTTCCAATTTAATGCAAAGTATTTGGTTTCATTCATTCAAGATTTTAGATATACAACACCTCTTAAAAAACCCAAGTTAGATCTCTAGGCCTACTAGGTGAGGAGAGGAGAAGAGAGAAGATAAAGGAGGAGACAGGGGAATAGAGAGGAGAGCAAGGAGAAGGAAGATAAAAGAGAAACAGGGAGAATAGACAGCGGTGAGCCAGCAGGAGAAGAAGTTAAAAGAGCTAAGACAGAGAGGAAACAAGGAGAAAGAAGAAGACAAAATAGGAGAGAACAAAGAGAAAGGAGAAGATAAAAGAGGAGATAACAAGGAGAAAGAAGGGAGTTAAAAGGGGAGACAAAGGAAATAAAGAGGAGAACAAGGAGAAGAAGGGAGATAAAAGAGGAGTCAGAGGAAATGCCGCAACTGCATAAGCTCGGGTATTTGCATGAAATTACGTCACGTAATTTAATTATTTGAGGAATTTCCTCCCTTTTTATGGTTGGAGAAAAGCGAAAATATTAACGCAATATGGTAACAATGTTACAAGGGAGGTAACCACATTCACCACAATTTCCAGACAACAAGTAACCGATATGATCCATCTCAGATACGTATAAGATATTTCTTTATCTGATTCATTTAAAGCTAAAGGGGCAGTAAGCAAAATTTTCCTTATCAAAAATGTCGAAAATTATAAATAAAAATATTTCTAAATTATGTTATTTTCATCTATCTACTTGATCAAACTGATTTTGTTTTAAAAGGGTTAATTTAAAACGGAGTGTACTAATTGTTAGTTGAGCACCTTGAACTAGATTCTGTGTGGACCCTCAACAAGCCTCGATATTTTTAGTTGAAACCTTTGGAATACGCAGGGGACATAAAGTATTGCAGAACGAACTTTAAAAGTTTACATAAACCTTTAATTAGTTTTGGCGTTAAAAAATTAACGAGATTTTTTCAGTTAAAACTTTCAGATACGTTAAGGGCACATTTGTCTAGATTTTGGTGTATAACTTTGATAAATTGAACCAAATTTCCCACAAAACCTGGTTTTTGGGCGTGCGCCCACGTTGCTTTTTGCACTGTATTGTTATTTATTTTTTGTCATGAAGTCTATAGAGCAAAGTTCTTGCGTTTTATTTCATGAAAGTGAACATTAGATTGGATCGTTGGTTGGTAAAATTTAACATTGCCTACATTTATTGATCTATTTAGCGTCCATATAACTGTACAGGTTTTAATCTCTTGGTTTTTCCTGTTAGTAAAATAATGCGGACGTTGTGATTGAAGGAATATTCATATAAATGATTCACCATACGTTCAGCTAACGATCTAATATCGTGATGTATATTGTGTAAAAAAAGTACGTAATTGAGTCATGGAAGTGTCAGAATGATCTAACTTAAATCACATTCAGCATTCTTCCACATTGATCCCTTAATGCATATTCTAGTCACTAAATTTGATAGTTCGGTAGTTTAACTCACAGCAGCCTGAAACAGTGTTTGATAAATCCGCTTTAACCATTGGCTAAACAAGCGGTAAAAGGTTGATAAATCGGTGGTAAAGGTTTGATAAATAAGTGGTAAAGGTTTGATAAATTGGTGGTAAAGTTTTGATAAACCAGTGGTAAAGGTTTGATAAATCAGTGGTAAAGGTTTGATAAATAAGTGGTAAAGGTTTGATAAATCGGTGGTAAAGGTTTGATAAACCAGTGGTAAAGGTTTGAACAATCAGTGGCAAAGGTTTGATAAATCAGTGGTAAAGGTTTGATAAACAAGTGGTAAAGGTTTGATAAATCAGTTTTAAAGGTTTGATAAATCAGTGGAAGAGGTTTGATAAATCAGTGGAAGAGGTTTGATAAATCAGTGGTAAAGGTTTGATAAATCAGTTTTAAATGTTTGATAAGCAAGTGGTAAGGATTTGATAAATAAGGTTGATAAATCAGTATTAAAGGTTTGATAACAAGTGTTTAAAGTTTGACAAATCAGGTTGATAAATCAGTGTTAAAGGTTTGTTAAACCAGTTTGATAAATCAGTTTATCAGTTTGATAAATCAGTTTGATCAGTTTGATAAATCAGATTGATAAATCAGTTTGATAAATCAGTTTGATAAATCATAAATCAGTTTGATAAATCATATTGATAAATAAGTTTGATAAATCAGTTTGATAAATCAGTGAGATAAATCAGTAGTAAAGGTTTGTAAATCAGTGGTTTGATAAACTATTTTCTATTGAATTAAATTGGTCATATGATTGCAGATTGCATTTATAATGTATTTCGGATGGTGTTTTAGCTTCCAAAAGTAACCCATTAAAGAAGAATAGTTCATAAAAATTTAATGAAAAGAAAGCAGCATATAATTTTCCTGGAGCATCAATGGATCGTAAACCCACACATTATGTAAAACACTGACTAGACTATCAACGATTCAACATTCAACAATTCCAATCCCCAGTCAGTCATGTCTGTATGGCACTATGTATGCTACATATTTAGTTTTTCGATCTATTCAAAAATTTCATTAAGATTTGTTCATCGCATTTTAATGAATGTCGGGTAATGTTTTACTATCATCATTATAAATAAATTTTTAAACAAAAAACCGACAAAATACAACACCACCGTTTGCAAAATCAAATTGATATATCATGTCACAGTCACCACCATCTTGGTTCCAGCAGGTCTGCCAATTTAATCCCATATTATAGATCAGAGATGTACACCACCCGAAACTTATCCAGCTACCTTCAGATGTCATTTGTGTTTTAAATTCGCATGTGTTTGAATGTTATATTGTTCGGCTTTTCTACATTCTGTGGTTTCTGTAAGCAGTTAGCAGTATTTAGCCACTTGGGATTGCAGTCAAGTATTCCAACTTCAACACACTGGCAGATGATAACAGAAGACTCTCACACTTTGATTTCAGCTTCTTTAACAGAAGCTCATGGGCCACAGATTGGTGGAAGATTAGCAGAATCCTCTCACACTTTAGTCTCCGACTACTTCATTAGAAACTCGTGGTCAACCGATTGGTGGAAATAGACTCTCACACTTTGACTTCAGCTACTTCAATAGAAGCTAATGGGCAACTGCTTGGTGATCGTGGTTCACAACGTGGACACTCACAGTCATCGGAATGGAAGTTAAAACTTTCCCTGAGCCCAGATCGGAATTCTTCGCTCATGATAACATAGACAATAAACTTAAAGAATGCTGTACAAATTCCCAACCAGAACAAGTAAAAATGTATTTCGGGTGGTGCTCTGTCGCTACGAGGTACACTAACGTGATGTACCCTCAACAAACACCAAGGCAACCAACACAATAGGAATACAATAGAATTAATGAAGTTTATTTTGTAATTTAATGGTCGACTAGCACGGTCCGGGAAGACTTGATAGAAGAATGTCAATTGTTTCTTGTAAGCGCTTGTAAACATATAGGAACTTGTGTATATTAGGGCCGAAAGACCAGGAGCTGTTATCAACAAACCAGCTGTCATGAAATAGGCTCTCTGTTTCTTTGCCTCAATAATACAGATAAATGCTTCTCTGTAGTATCTTGCTCGTCGTAAAGAGATGAGTGGAGGCATACAAAAGCTCACAGCGACAAGCCATACTATAAATATCCAACAGGCAGATCGGGCTGGTGACAGCATGTAATGATGACGATCTGGTTTTCGTATGGCTACAAAATGGTCAACTTGTAACAATGCTAAAGCATATAAAGCAGCGATTACCACTGCTGCCAACACGTAAGCTTCAACACAACAAAATATGTCATTGGCGAATACCCAAGCATTGTACAAGGAATTGAAAATGGAGAACGGAGTCACAAAGAGACCCAGTATCAGGTCGGATATAGTCAATGAAAATAAGAACAATTTGTTAACATTCTTAAACGCCTTTGTCCAAGACACCACTAACAGTATCAAACAATTACTAATTACGATGGATAATGTTATGAATATAGTGGAAAATGTCATATGAGTGAAGGTTGCTGGCTGGTCAGTCCCGTTCATGTACTTTAAAGTCATTTTGATGTTATGAGTTTTACAATACAACTACGCTGTTTCAAAATTCACCACAGAGGAAAGTTGGAATTCGTCGACAATGACATTTAGTAATCCATGATGCACATAGCTTCACTAACACAATATCAATTTTATTCTGTTAAGAATTCACTATAGTCTTGCTTGAGTAGAAAAAGACTATCCCAAACTATTCGCTCGGAATAGAGACAATCGTAATTTACTTTTTCAGCTACTTGACGATATTGTTTATTCCAATTGATAATCTCAATAGTATATTCATCTATTGTCATACAACATGACCTAATACAATTTAACATCCGATACCAATAGTAGTCATTATTTTCACCTGGCACTTTTTAACAACTATTGTATGATTGGCACAGCTTGTGGCACTATTCTGTAAACCAAAAACAAATTTTGTGTTCCAATTTATTGCTTGAATAGATCTTCAAAAATTTCAGCTGGAACTCGTGGTTGATGGTCTTCAAGTACTATGGCTGAAAATTTGGCTTGGATTTAAACGGAATCTGAAAATAGAAATTATTAGAGATTTTATATTGTATTTCCAAGCTATAAAATAGAATCCATGTACATATTAACTATGCGACATAGTCTATGTCTGAATCAGGCTGAAATAATTGTTGATGACGTCATATTTTCCTGATTTCCAAAAATAGTATATTAGCTTCTTCCAGATTCAGAGAATATTATGTTTTTGCTCTCTGAACGAGATTCATCCACATACCACAGCTAGTAGACACGAAAGGTTTAAATGGTAGAGAATTATAGCTTATATCAGGAATAACTATTTATCTTCTTTATTCACACCATTCAGATTAGCCGAGGTTTGTTCTTGTCGTTCCAGAACAAGAGACAATAGGTTATAGAATCCCTTTTTCAAATAACTCGAAGTCATGTCTAAAGTAAACGTTGGAATAATAACAAATTGGCATACTGAGTAAAATCCAATTATTTTTTTTATTGATGTGTATTGTGATTAAATGATTTGTTACTACGCCAAAAGCAATTTGTTATTTTAGTAACACATTATGTCATATCTATTATTCATGATAGCTTGTGTAGATCATGATTAAAAGGCGACGAAGCGTTCTAACTTAAATCGGTACCGCAGATTGCATTCTCTTTTATTAAACGATGACTTTGTTATTTAATGAGGTTTAGGTTGATCGAGTTTTATCAATTGTAAATCGTTCAATGTTCAATACATGTATTATGACTTTAATGGAATCAATATTACTGATAGTAATATAACTTATCTAATGCATTGAAATGGAAGTATTCTGAATATATAGGAATATAGCTTATATAGGAAGTATAGCTGATATAATTATGAAATATAGACGATATAGGAAATATAGCTTATGTAGGAAAAATAGCTTATAAAGGAAATATAGCTTATATATAAAATATAGCTTATATAGGAAATATAGCTTATATAGGAAATATAGCTTATATAGGAAATATAGCTTACGTAGGAAATATAGCTTATATATATAAAATGTAGCTTATAATAGAATATAGCTTATACAGGAAATATAGCTTATACAAAGTGAAAATCTTTTGAAAATACAAATTATTTATGGACAGTTTTTAACTAAATGAAGTTCATGTAACAATAATTCCAAAATCGTTAATCGAAAGATCGTCAAATTCGAACTCGACCAAGATCTCATCCATATGTATGATCATACCAAATTTCATTAAAATCAGTTGAAAACTGTAGTTTCTATTGTGTTCACAAACAAATTTTGACGCGTTTTTCCTATGTCAAGGGCAATAACTCAAAAACCGTTCATCGAAAGATCGTCAAATTCGAACTTGACCAAGACCCCATCAATATAAATGATCAAACAAAATTTGATTAAAATCAATTGAAAACTGTAGTCTCTATTGTGTTCACAAGAAATGACGGACCGACGGACTGACGGGCGAACGGACCGGCGGACAGGGGCGACGGCAATATACGTCCACATTTCCACGTGGGCGTATAAAAATCCAAAATTCTTGGCCTTTGAGAGAAGGGTTAACATAATTCCTGTTCTTATGAGGTTGGCATATTCCTTAACAAACATGGCATGTTGAAATCACTGTTCTGTTATTTACTTTCCCTAAATTGGCATGTAGTCAGTAAAAAGCTTCCAAAGATGATCACCTCACTACTGTCATAGTTAGAAACCTTATTAAAAAAAATCTCTTAAGAAAATATTCGAATGAGAAATTGGCAAAACAGTTTCAAATAACCCCCAAATATTGGAAATAACTTACAGAACAGTTATAAATATATAATGAAAATAGAACATATCTCCTATCACACATAATACAGTAATTCCAAAAATATGTGAGCCGAACTAAAGGTTTTATTTAAAACAGAACATATCAAAATAACACAGTTATTAATTTTATCAAATTATCCTTATATACGCTCTGTTGACTAATTTATAAGTAATGTATGTCTTATGAGCTGTACACTTCTACATAAAACCAATGGTCATCACTTCCAGATATATCTAAACCAATTGCGTAAGAAATCCTTAATTTAAACAATATCTTATACATAAAATGTACATTATTAATGTCAAACTCTGTTTGATTATTTGTATAACTAGTACACCGTTTTTTTTGTTCGAGATACACAAGGCACAATAACGAAAATATTAAATTGTAAGCTACTTACGTTAAAAGCATCTATTGACTAACTAGAAAATCCATATAAAAGGCTTACTTAGACATACAGTTTCTACAAAATGTGTGCTTATTCCCGAAGAGATCACATTATATACTTGCATTCGTCATACACTCTGAAGATAAACTAAACATTCAGACAAATCGTGTGAAAATCACAGCTTGTTGAACATACATATATACACATTCTATATACATGAAGTAATATTGTATCATTCATTATGGTATGTATCATTGGTGATAACAAAATAACATGCTTTATGACGTGTTCACATTCTAAAGATGCCAATATTTTGACAATATCGTGCCTCAAGTGCATGCGACCCCGATATCATCAGTAGAGTCAGTGTTAAAGGGATGGTTCTCTATTATTTGTTTTACCACTTGATAGAGGTTAATTGTAAAGCGATAAGGATGGCTGAAAATGAGCTATTTCAGTTGGTAATACACTATATTAGTACTATGTGCTCTTTACAGGTGAATAAATATTTTCAGAGAATAAATAAAGGGGTCGTTACAACTTTGGCATCAGTGTTTTCTACAATAGTGACGCCATAAGCTGAACCAAAGACGTCGGACGGGAAACTAGAATGGTGAAAATAGAAGATATAAAGTGTCCTAGATACACACACACACAAACTTACCCACCTTAATTATACCACTTGATATCAAAATTTTCGGACTAGTGTCGAATATGAAAGCATTATAGAAATGATAATAGATTCCAGGGAATCGGAACATATTTTGGAACCAAGCCCAAGCTTCTGAAAAGAATTATTCGACTTGGTAATTCCTACTGTAATTATACGCCTAGATGAGTAATATGTTATGTCTCGTATATTAAGGGAGAGACGATCGTTATTATACAATATAATTCAATTATATAGGAAGAATAATCCTTAAGGATAGGAATAAAGATATGAATGATAATAATATACTTGAGTAGACTCTAACGTATCATGCTCTATAATTGCCTTGCATGTATTTACACAACGATCAATGAATCGCCTGTCTTTGGGTAGATGGGAATTCCAACAGAAAAAAAGAATGTATGAATTTTAAGAAGAGAATTTTTAGTCTGAAATGGAAGTCATTTCACACGCATTTTCTGGGAGGAGAGCGTGATAATTTCACGAATAAAATCATATACCCTTAAATTTGTATCGACCTGTAGACATTACAAGACCAATGACAATCAAATTGAAAGATTAACTTTGAATTTTTGTGAGATGATGAGATAAATTCAACATTAGTTGAAGAAGAAATCAACCCCGAATCACCCCAATATACAGAGAGAGCTTTTGGATCCACCAACTTCAAACTGTTTCTACGTCTGGTTTAAATATCCAATAGATTCACAGATTATATACAATTTGTCACGCTATACAACAGTACTTCATGCCAAGTCTCTCGGGTTGTTAAACGCAATTATTGTGATTTACAAGATAAATTCCCAACCATCTTTAATAAAAAAAAAAACTAGTCACAGCGTACTCAAAAAATAGAAACCTTGATATCCTTGTTCGTGATAGACTTAAACAAATTGATTAGATTCAATCTTTAATATTTTGTAATATTTACATTATTGACTAGTCATTACCATTTATTTCAGTGCAACGTTGGTGCATACTTGAAATGGGTTTTTATTTTATTTCATTCATTTCATTTCATTTATTTCATTAAGTCTATCTAGCATTTGGTTTTCTTTAAATGGATATTTGGTAATTTCAATTTTTTATGTAATAAATCATCGATTTAGTTCCTTGGAGTACGAATTTCCATTTTAACATATTAACCTTAACATTTGTGAACATTGCTTTAACCCTGTGCCAGTGCCTTCTGCTGGATAGTAACTTGTTACCTTTCAACCACCCAAATCTCTAAAGTGGAATATAGAATCAGCAAACTATAACATCATTCAACCGCACGACACCTGCATATTTAGGGAACCTAAAGGTATCTGCCTCCAAGGTAAAAAGGAATATCTGCGTAAAATTTTCCTGATTGCTGCCCCAAACACATTGATTATAAGTTTGGAGATCTTGTTGCCTTCGAGGTGTTCATCTGATGCATCACATCAGGACGAATACTAATTTGAGCCCAGTAATACACGTCTATATATTTTATGACATTTAATGGAATGAAGCTATAAATAAAACTAGGTATGGCACCTGTAAATGAGTAATGTTTACAATAACAGAACATATTTTTCTTATATCTAA